AAAAAAAAAAAAAAAAAAAAAAAAAAAAAAAAAAAAAAAAAAAAAAAAAGTATTACAGCCCATCCATAAATTAGAATATCATAGAGTTTAACAAGTGTGATCCAGAACTATCTTGCCAACAAGGATAGGTGGCCACAATATATTGTCAAGTGCGAAAAGCTAGTTGACAAATGGTGTGAGTGGCATCACTGTATTTTTAATAAAACATTTGGGCCTGGCACAGTGGCTCATGCCTATAATCCCAGCAGTTTGAGAGGCTGAGGCAGAAGGATTATTTGAGCCCAGGAATTTGAGATTAGCCTGGGCAATATAGGGGAACCCTGCCTCTACAAAAATACAAAAGTCAGCCAGGCATGGTGGTGCATGCCTGTAGTCCCTCCCAATTTAGGAGGCTGAGGTGGGAGGATTCCTTAGGGCCAGCAAGTTGAGGTTGCAGTGAGCCATGATCTTGCCACTACACTCCAGCCTGGGTGACTGAACGAGACCCTGTCTAAGAAAAGGAAAGAGAAAGGAAAGAAGGAAAGAGAGAAAGAGAAAAAAAGAAAGAGAGGGAGAGGAGGAGGGAGCGAGGGAGAGGGAAGGAAGGAAAGAAAGGAAGGAAGAAAGGAAGAGAGGGAGGGAAGGAAGAAAGAGAAGGAAGAAAGAAAGAAAATTTAAAACATTTGGAAGAGGCATAGTCCACGATTAACTCATGGTATATGGGTGATTTTATTTTAAACATTTACTTGCTTGTGTTTGCCGCGTCTTCACCAAGGAGAATAGATTACTTATGTAATGAAAGAAAATTTAAATTAAAGAAACTAATTAAAAAGAAGAGAGGACAGGAAGGCTGTCACAGCCTCCTCAGGATTTTTCACCTATTCTTCTGGGGTACCCAGTGGGGCACCGAGCAGCCTCAGCTGGCCCTCTCTTAGGTTGCAATAGAGCAGGCTGACTTTAACAAAGCTACCCAAAATTTCAGGTTGTAACATTATGACATGACCAGTGTTTGACTATTTCAGACCTGCAAAGACAGAAATTTTACATGATTCAACGTCGTAAGTGCACATCTCATTAAGTCCTCCCTGAAGACACCAGCTCACAAAGGTGTAATGATGGCCATGTTTACTGTCACCTGCTTTGAGTTGGGGGTGGCTCAAGATTCACTGCCTCTGTTTATCCCTGTGCCTCAGTCTGTTTGAGGTCACAGCAATGGGGCAGAACTGGTGTTTGGACCTGCACCCGGGAGCTCCGAAAGCATTCCAGGCCGCCGGTCTTTCTCTCCATCTCCCACCACCTGTCTGGGCCCCATTCCCTTGTTTACCCAGACCCTTCTCTGTTATTCCTGGCAGCTCTGGACACCCTAGACCTCCCACCAGCCCACCCCTGCTGCTTTGGAAGTGAAAGAAAGTGGGAGCGGGGACTGGGCACTCAGTGGGGGGTTATCCCTGTGGGCCTGCCCCAGAGGCCCTTGTCCCTTGGCCTTGCTGGGGGTCCCTGGCGTGAGCTGTCAGCCAGCACCTGATGTCATGGACACCCTTACTGCTCTGCAGTCTTTTTTATTTTTTGAAACAGGGCCTTCCTCTGTCACCCAATCTGGAGTACAATGGCTTGATCACAGCTCACTGCAGCCTCTAATTCCTGGGCTCAAGCAATCCTCCCATTTCAGCCTCCCAAGTAGCTGAAGCTACAGAGTCATGCCACCACACCCAGCTAATTTTTTTTTTCCATAGAGATGGGGTCTCACCATGTTGCCCAGGCTAGTCTCGAACCTTGGTCTCAAGCAACTCTCCCACCTCAGATTCCCAAAGTGCTGGGATTATGGGCATGAGCCGCCCACCGTGCCTGGCCTACTTTTTTTGTTTTGTAGACATGGGGTCTCACTATGTTGTTCAGGCTGGTGCAGTCCATTCTTACTGTCTCACAGGAGCTGCACAGCAGAAAACAGAGTGAGACCACAATGATGGGTTTTGGCCCCTGGTTCAAATTTCTAAGACGAGAGGTCAGGTCACCACGAACCCACTCTGGGGGCACAGAGGCCCAGCCTGGGTTTCCCCAGTGGCCCACAGCACCTCTTACCCCAGGAACTCATCCTGGCAGGGGCATCTCACTTCAGCAGAGAGGGGCAAAATGTAGAAATGAAAGTCTCTGGGATGGAGCTCCAGTAGAGACTCAGATTTAAATCCAGGGTGGCTTGCACCTATAATCCCAGCACTTTGGGTGGTGGAGATGGGAAGATTGCCTGAGCCCAGGAGTTCGAGACTAGCCTAGGAACACAGACAGACTCTGTCTCTACGAAATATAAAAAATTAGCTGAGTGTGGTGGTGTGTGTCTGTGGTCTCAGCTACTCGGGAGGCTGAGGTGGGTGGGGGGGGGTCCCTTGAGCCCAGGATGTGGAGGCTGCAGTGAGCTGTGATCATGCCACTGTACTAGCCTAGATGATAAAGTGAGACTCTGTCTCAAGCCAGCCAATCAATCAATCAGTCAGTCAGTCAATCAATCAATCCAGGAGTGTCTCAAAGGTTTCCCAAGTCCAGCCCAGAGACGCTAAAAGCCTTTCCTCCAGGCGTGGGGCTAAGTGAGACGTGGGTGATAAAGGACATGGCCTCGAGGCTACGAGGCAGCTGGGCAAAGTGGGAAGCCTCCCTGCTCCTGACACAGTGACTGCTCAAATCCTGGCTGACCTGGAACATGGTCCTTAACTGAGCTCACCTTTCCCAGGTGTGAAATGGGTTGTTCTGGGAACTGAATGAGCTAATGATACACACTCCCTGGCAAGCCTCAAAACACATGTGTCCCTTCCCTACCTCACAGCCCATCTTAGAAGTTTGCTGTCACTTACTTTGGAGTCAGCAAAAACATATTCCTTCCGCAGGATTTTCTCCTTCTCTGTTTCCACCAAGATTACCAACTTGTTCAGAAATTTCTGTGACTTAATGAGCTGTAAGACTTAAGAGAAAGAAATTCATTAATTCATGCATCCACTCATTTAACCAAGATGAACTGTCTCCATTATGTTCCAGCACCTGACTATGAACTCCCTTGCTGTTCCCGTCCCCAAGCTGAGCCCTGAGTTTGTGTCTGGTCTCCCAGATCCCTCTGCTTCCAGCTGCTCTTCCCAGGAGAGGCTCACGCTTGGGAAGGGTGATGTCTGGAACAAGAAGAATTGGCCTGGCCACAGCGGAGACAGTGTGATTGTCTTTTTATCTTTCCCCCTGCCTCCCTCCTTCCCTCTCTCTTCTTCCTTCTCTTCTTCTTCTTCCTCTTCTTCCTCCCTCCTTTCTTCCTTACTCTTCATCCTTTCCTTATTTTGCTTTGCTTTTAATTTATATCTAAATTTAATTTTACATTTTACTTTCATCAACAATCAAATGAGTCAAATTGTTCTATAAGTTTTTTGCAAACAATAGTCCCCCTCCAACCCAGCCTCCTTTCAATGTCCTGCTCCCTTGAGACAACCGATTTCAACTCTCTTAATGGATTCTTTAGGAATTTTACTGTTTCTTAAAAAAAAAAAAATGCTTAGATTACTACTTTCTGACATTTTGATTTTCATTATTTTCTATTACATGTTTGACTTCCACTGTGGAAGATGAAGGTTTAACTTTCACACAACCTGCTCCCCTGACTTGACTCCCTGCCAATGCATAATTGCAGTCTCCACATCATCCTTCTAACAATTATATCATAATTTTGGCCAGATAAGTACTCAGTGTTTGTTATTCTGATTATAGAAATGCTATTGACAGACCAGCTCTGATTGGTTCTCTTTTTCTGGACAACTTTTTGTTATTCCTGGAGTTAGTGATTGCCATACTTTTTTATTGTTTCTAATTCTTCCATAGTTTGTAACTCTTTTCCACGTGACCAAGCATTTTCATCAGTTTCTTTGTGCAGAGGGAGCCTTTCCTAGAGCCTCTGGGTCTTCTCTGGACAGGTGACCTCTAGGCCTGAGGCAGAGTCTTTACCCTGGGGTTTTACTTCATAATCCAAGAATCCATTTATTTCTCCTTCTCTCTCTCCCTCATACTAAATCCCATTTCTTGGACCCCATGTCTTCCTCTCCTTGGTTTACCTCCTCATTTTGGTAGAGCAACATCTCTAGTAGCTTTCTAAGAAAGGAAGAATGGGTGATACATTTTTAGAAGCCTTGTGTGTCTGAAAATTCTACCCTGGCACTTCACTGATGAAACTCTAAATTTGAAATAATTTTCCTCAGGACTCTGGAACCTTGTTCCATCATCTAGTTTTCAGGATTGCTGAAGAAACAATGTTGTTCTAATTCTCTTGTTCAGAAAATAGCACAGCAGGCCCGAGACTGCTGTCCTCAGAAGGGCTTGCTTGAAAGGTTGGCTTTTTGCTGTCATCTGGGAACGTGGATTTTGGGAGGGCTCCCACCATCCCCAGAGCTGATGAGTGGCTTGCTGTGCCTACACTGATTGTACAAACAATATGGTTTAAGCTGAGCACCTGTTTTCCTTCTGGGAGTCCAGAATCTGGGTACCTGCCAGGCAGAGGGTGTCTACATGACCGGTCCCCGATTAACAACTGCATTTCACACATGTTGTCACAACTCACTGGGGGAGGAGGGAAGTATGGTGCTATGTGACTCCACAGGAGAGTGGAGCCACTCCTAATGGTGGCTCACTGCACTTAGAAGGAAGCATGAGCCTGGCACTCCGGCTCAGCAAACCCACACGCCTGGCCCCTGCCTAGCCTCGGCCTCATCTGAGCCCCAGCCGCCTGGCCATCTCACCAGCCACACTGTGCCCAGTGGCCTCTTTCCCTGCTTTGGGCACAGCCAGCATCCTCCTGACACTCGGTCTCAGGCCTAGACTCTTAGAAGCTCGTGCCGGAAGAACTTCTAAAGTTCTTCTAGACTTTACCCCACGCATGTGTCTTTTCCCTTGGCTGATTTTGCTGTATATCCTTTGAATGTCATAAATCACAGCTGTGAATATGATCACCTGCGGAGTCCTGCCAGTTCTTCGAGGAATCGCAGGACCAGGGGGTGGTCTTGTGGGACCCCTGACGCAGGCTGTAATCTATCTTTTGCTCTGAACGTTTTTAGGATTTCTTCTTGGAGCCCAGCGTTGTGAGGCTTTCCGGGGTTGTGTGTTTCTCCTGCGTTGTGTGAGCACTTGGCCATTTTCAGCCCGGAGACAAGTGTTATTCTGTTCTGAGACTCTTTCCTGAGTTTTAAAATCAATTTTCTCACTCTGTTTTCTCTTACTAACACTTATTATTTTGATATCAGGCCTCCTGAACTGGTCTTCTTCTTTTTTTTTTTTTTTTTGAGATGGTCTCACTCTGTTGCTCAGGCTGGAGTGCAGTGGCGGATCTTGGCTAACTGCAACCTCTGGCTCCTGGGTTCAAGCGATTCTCCTGCCTCAGCCTCCCAAATAGCTGGGATCACAGGCGTGCGCCATCATGCCAGTCTAATTTTATGTTTTTAGTAGAGATGGGGTTTAACCATGTTGGCCAGGCTGGTCTTGAACTCCCGACCTCAAGTGTTCTGCCTGCCTCAGCCTCCCAAAGCGCTGGGATTACAGGCATGAGCCACCGTGCCCAACCGTGAACTGGTCTCCTAAATTGCAAACATCTTGCCTCTCCTATTTTCCAACACTTCGTCCTTTTGTTTTGCTTTTTGGGAGCTTTTCTGAACTGTATCTTTCCACCCTTCCATCGGGTTCTTATTTTTTAAATTACTATTATAATATATTTTATTGCCCTTCCTTTCCCTTCTCCCTTCTTCCCCCTTCTCTCTTCCTCCACCTCCTTTTTCACTTTCATTTTCTTCCTTATTGTTCCTTTCTAGATATCATTCTGTTATTCCACGGTCCCATTTCCTTTTATCTACTGAATGTGATCCCACCGAGGCTGGGAGCCATGGCTCACGCCTGTAACCCAACATGACAGGCCAGGTCTCACTAATGCAGGCCTCCCTAGCAACTGTTTCCATACTGACTCAGTGGTTAAGTTAAATATTAAAAGCCAGCGTCCTTATACAAAGGCTGGAATGTAACAAAAGCCCATCAAAAGTTTTGCCTTTCCTGAACCTTCCAGCATGACAAAACAACAAAGTAATTCTTAACAGGACCCATTTAGGATTAAACAAGTTTATCAGAGGTCTGAAGGAACCCCCCAATCCTCTGTGATTTAGCAGGAGACAAGGGTAATCACCCCAGCACCTGGACCCATTTAAATTAAGTACATTGGCTGAAGCTCCAGAGGAAGGTCTTCAGGACTCAGATCTTAGCTATAAACTAAAAGAAGTTAATCACGTATGTCTTTAGATGAATACACACTTACACGTAGACATGTAGCTGAGAAGGTATATAAGCTCTGGAAAACTTTGTAATTTTGAGTTGGTCTGGCGACAATTTCCAGGCCTTCTTCCTGTAACCAGTTACAGAAAATAACAATGCTCTTCCTCCCCAGTTCATCTGCATCTTGTTATTGGGCCACGAGAAACAGCAGCCCAATGCTCATTTTGGTCCAGGAATAGCAGCACTTTGGGAGGCTGAGGCGGGTAGATCACCTGAGCTCAGGAGTTTGAGACCAGCCTGACCGACATGGTGAAACCCCATCTCTACTAAAAATACAAAAATTAGCCAGGCATGGTGGCGCATGCCTCTAGTCCCAGCTACTTGGGAGGCTGAGGCACAAGAATCACTTGAACCCAGGAGGTAGGTGGAGGTTGCGGTGAGCCGAGATCATGCCATTGTACTCTAGCCTGGGCAACAAAAGCGAAACTCTGTCTCAAAAAAAAAGAGAATTAGATCCTCCAAGCACTTTGTCTTTGTGTCCCCTGTCTCCTGTCCCCAGCTTTCCTCCAGTGTCTGGTGATCCTTGGCTGTCTGTGTCCAACAGTGAGGCGGGGTCTGTTGAGCAGGGCTTCTCCACCGGGTGGTCCGATGGGCCGAATCCTGGGGAAACCGCGTGATGGCAACACCTTTCCATCTTTGCCCCCGGGCTGATCAAGCCTCCCAGAGAAGACTTCTAACTGCTACCTAAGGATGGTGGGGCCAGCAGCATTGTGGCAGATGGGCAGGGAAGAAGGCTGGGGTCTCAGCACTCAGAAAGTGACTGTCCCTTAGTCCTCTGTTTTCAGTAGGCTCTCCTGCCTCCAGCAGGCCTGGTGTCTCCTGGCCCTTCACCTTCTCCAAAGAACAAACATCCAATCTTCTACCAAAGGAATGAGGAGGAGCCCCTAGCTACATGGAGTGGAGTGGGATCTGTGGGGCTGAACTCTCTTTTAAATAGATTTGCATCTGATTCTGTTGCGTATAACCTCACCTTCACCCCTCTTCTCAGGGTCCCCAAGGCTCTCAGCTCCTGAACCCTCTGTGGGTTTTACATGAGTCAGTGTCTCTATTTTTCTTCCACCTGTTTAAATTCCATTTTTTGATTCCTATAAGTGGCTCTCACTATCCATCTCCTTTCCAGCTTTCAGAATGTTTTTGCTCTCCAGTTCTCTCTTTCCCTGTGGGCTTTGTCTTCCTGGAGGGAACTGATGACAGAGTATGCATTCAACCATCACCCTGGGCTGGAAGCCTCCCCAGAGGAAAATCACATCAGCCTCGTCGGCACCTCAGTAAGCATCCCACGGTCTAATTCCTTCCACTGCTAACCAAACGCCCTGAGACTTTTCCAGTCTGCTACTATCAGGCCACGTCTCCTACCCCTGAATTTCCTTGCCATCTGTTTGCAGGACTGTGCGGCTGCCCCCAGAATGTGATGCCTTGTTTGATCAGGGTTATCATTCCATCAGGGTCAGTCAGCGCCCCACCTTCCCCATGCCCAGTGAAATGACACTAGAAGTTCCTTTCCCTTGTTGGGCTACATAGCATCCATCAGCGGGTGCTGGCCGGTCTACCTTTGAAACATTCCCGCCCTGTTCGCCTTTCCCATCTCCAGCTGCCACCACCTCTTGCCTGGCTGCCATCGTGGCCTCCTAATTGCTGTCCCTGTCTCCTCTCTTCCTCTCTTCCCATAATTTATTCTCAGGACAGCAGCCAGAGTTACCCTTCTGAAGTGGGATCACGTCACTCCCCAGCTGAAAACCTCCTAATGGTGGCTTGCTGCATTTGGAAGGAAACATGAGCCTGGTACTCTGGCTCAGCAAACCCACATGCCTGGACCATACCCAGCCTCAGCCTCCTCTGAGTCCTGGCTGCCCAGCTGTCTCACAGGCCGCACTTGCTCCTGCCCTGGAACTGAGCCCAGTGGCCTGTTTCCCTGGGTTGGGCACAGCCAGCATCTTCCTGACACTCAGGTCTCAGTTCAAATGGCAAGCACATCCTCAGAAAGGCTTTTCCCCATTATTGTCATATTTTTCTATTTAAATCCCCTGCCTCATGCTTGGCAAAATCCTATTCATCCTTCAAATCCTGGTCAGAGCCATCTCGGTGTTGTGAAGACTCCTCCTGCCCTCACTCCCCAAAAGAGCTAAGCAATCCTCCCTTGGGACTAACCGTCCTCTGGAGCACATTCTAATACCTGCCCATGTGCCTGCATCCCTTCTCCACAGCAAACCCTTAGTGGAAGCATTCACAATGAAGGCCTGGCCCGTGGAAGATGCCACACAAATGTGTGTGGAGTTAAGCCACCAAAAGTTCACAGCACTTCTCAGAACCCTGGGAGGTGTTTCTTTCAGTCTTAAGTTTTTTAGTAATCAGGTGCTCTGACAATCTTCACTCATCTTACATTTCCATCTCTTCTTATCCAAGTTGGGGACAGCCCTCTTTCCTTAACAGATGTATTGGTCTGTTCTCATGTTGTTAATAAAGACATACCCAACACTGGGTAATTTATAAAGGAAAGAAGTTTAATGGACTCACAGTTCCACATGGCTGGAGAGGCCTCACAAGCATGGTGGAGGCAAGGGAGGAGCAAAGTCGCGTCTTACATGGTGGCAGGCAAGAGAGCTTGTGCTGGGGAACTCCCCTTTATAAAACCCTCAGATCTTGAGGCTGGGCATGGTGGCTCATGCCTGTAATCCCAGCACTTTGGGAGGTGGGCGGATCACCAGGTCAGGAGATCGAGACCATCCTGACTAACATGGTAAAACCCTGTCTCTACTAAAAATACAAAAAATTAGCCAGGCATGGTGGCATACGCCTGTAGTCCCAGCTATTTGGGAGGCTGAGGCAGGGGAATTGCTTGAACCCAGGAGGCAGAGGTTGCAGTGAGCCAAGATTGTGCCACTGCACTCCAGCCTGGGTGACAGAGCAAGATTCTGTCTGAAAAAAAATAAAATAAAAAACCATCAGATCTCATGAGACTTATTCACTACCATGAGAATAGCATGGGAAAGACCCACCCCCATGATTCAATTACCTCCCACATGGGGATCATGGGAGCTACAATTCAAGGTGAGATTTGGGTGGGGACACAGCCAAACCACATCAACAGATAAGAGTAACCACCACTCTAAGCTCACCGTCCACACAGCCTTCCTGCTCAAACCATCAGTGACTTCCCATTTCTCCCGCCCAACTTGGCCCCATACACATGGGCCACCATGATGCTATGAGCTCCCCTCTGCAGGGCTATGATGTCGCCCCCAGCCATTTCCTGAGATCACCCTCCCTCACAGCTACCCTGGAAAGGTAATGATAATGGAGGTGGCAGTCAGTCGTAGTGAGCACTTCCTGGAGGCTGGGCACCAGGTGCTTTGATGTTCACCCAGGTAAGACACCAGGTAAGACTCACGAGAGCCCTGCAAGACGCTACCTGTACTACTGTCCCTGCTGGACGGAAGAGTAAACTGAGGACCAGAGAGAAGGCACCAGACCCAAGTCACAAGTGGCTGACCTGGGACTCAAGGCTGGGCTACTAGCACCCCACTGTGCTATCAGTGAGGTTCAGGATGCACTATCCCAAAATATGGCATCCTAAGCATATTGAATAGTTTAAGCTGAAGGAATTTGAGCAATGGCAAGTGCAGGAAGGACCCTCTGATATTGCTCTAAAGCAGGTTATAGACCCTCATGTGAGAGGGGCCCTCCTTATACCTGGGGGACAGTGTGTCCTATCTCCAAGGACACAGGGATAGAGAGGACTCTGAACACACAGGCCCTGCCAAGGTCCTCCCCATTCCCCACCGTTAGTGCACGCTACTTTATTAAGAACAAAAGATGGCCGAGTGCAGTGGCTCATGCCTGTAATCCCAGCACTTTGGGAGGCCGAGGTGGGTGGATCACTTGAGGTCAGAAGTTCGAGACCAGGCTGGCCATCATGGTGAAACCCCATCTTTGCTAAAAATACAAAAATTAGATGGGCATGGTGGCAGGCCTGCAGTCCCAGCTACTCAGGAAGCTGAGGCAGGAGAATCACTTGAACCC